CAACCCTGACTTATACTATACCTGATTCATGATCATCTGTCGCTCTACGTTCTAGTTGGGCTGCTCCCAGTATCTGCACCTGTTAGACTTTGAATGCCAGCAACACCTCCATAAAATTGTCTGCACATCAAACAAAGTGCTTGCGATCCCCCCAATTCGTCCAACAAGAAAAGGCAAATTAGCCAGCACAATCCACCCAGTCTCATCTGAGTTGTTTCCGTGCCTTTTGCCGATGTCAACTCTGGTATCTCTCCCATGGTGCCTCTCAATTCAGAGGCCTCTAAACTCGACGCCGAAACGCTAACCCCAAACCGCTCTCCCCAAACACCGACGCGTATAATCGAAGCGGAGAGTCGCGTCCCTTTCGTTCCCCGTCTCTCGTCCCATCTCTCCCCCTCCGTCCACCTTGCTCCTTACGGTATTGCAAGACCGCATAGGCAGCTTCTCGCCTCGCTGCCGGAGGCCGGGACCGGTCGACCGGTCGACCGGTGGATGCCGAAGGACCGGTCGACGAGACGACGAGACGACGACGAGACGACCTTGGGACGTTCCAAACAAAGCTGGTCTTTCATGTGTCCGGACGTCACAGGTCGTCCCTTGAACTAGCAAGTGCTGTTGCAGGAGGTTCCCTTTCTACTTGGAACATTCAAGTCAAGTCCCTTCAACTTGAGACCTCCCACTACTGCACAGGCGCAATTGACAACATCTTAGGCTTAAATGGATAGCTACTGGAGGAAGCGTGTCATGGGACACCATCCATATCCATCTAACAAAGCGTGGCCGACAGTAGTACATCTTGAGAAATAGAAGCACAAAACAGGCGAGTCTTGGCTTGTTGTAATTACAGTATATATAGTTGTTGTAAAGCTGGCATTATCCTTGAATCCCTCTTCCAGCAAGTATATCCACATGCAACCATCTCTGGCTGACTTGATGCAATACCAACATATGAATAAGGAATGCCTTCGTATTCCCATGGCATTGTGATCCGACGGTGATCTTTGTCTGAATTCAATACACCTACATCCACCTACATCCAAGGTGAGAAGCTCACCCTGTCGCTTGCTCCTATTCTATTGGGCTATCCATGGCCATGGCTATCCTGTTGGCCCACCGGCCCACTTGCCACTGCTTTCCCGGTGTCATCATCGCATTTCCACACAAAAGAACATCCATCGACATGAACGCCCCGGTCAATCAGTTTCCAAAGCGCTCTCCCCTGTGACCACACCACCAAGCACCCGGCAATTTCGGAGGTGGAGGCCTTGTGCGGCGAGCAGCTTGGATAGGTAACGGCTGATTTCAGGTGCTGCATGGCTTTTGTTGGGGTGAGGTCTGTCAGGTAAGATGTGGTTCGATATGCTTCTGCAAGCTACACAAACAAAATTTGACAAATGTTGGTTGAGTAATGTTGAGTACCTTGACTTACAACGCTTAGAAGAGTTCGTGCAGGTTGTGCAATTCTACAACCAGCCCAAAGACTTCCTGTCACAACCTCCCAGGCTCCGCTGCTATGTTGCGTATTCCGTGAGAAACTGTTGACAACCAATTCCCCGAAAAACAGCAGGCCGGTTGTTCGGTTGTGCAAATCTTGTTACAGTATCAACTACTGACAAAATCCTTAGAAACAACTACTTATACACAACTAACAACTACTGACAAAACGTTCAGAAAACAACTACTATCAACAACTACTCACAAAACGCTCATAAAACACATCACAACACCCATTTGTGGAAACACCGGCGATCCGCACCTTTGCTCCAGGTCCAGCTTCCGCGCGGCGCCCGGAGCGCGGGAGACTTGCGGCGGCGAAGGGGGCCTCGGTGTATCGTTCCAAGAGGAAGAAGTGAGCAGATTATGGTACTATAAATGGCATGAATTAGCAATTCGGAGTAATTAATATATACTCTGACATCATCATAGAATTCACATGTGATCAAGGTCAAGATCAGTCTTGCTGGTACAAAACAGTGCAAACCGTGGCCTGCACCACGTTACGCATGTGCTTCTCACTCTGGGGCACCCCGACCCGTGCCCAGCACCCGTGCGGTTCTGCGGTGTGACGGACAAATCGGAAACGGGGTGATGATGGCAAGTGGAGCGCTCTGACCAGTGGAGCGTGGTGCGCTCATAGTGGAAGTTGTGCAGGATGCAGTTGAATCCAAAAGAAATTCTTATAACAGTTGTTCTTTTCATAGTACTGCTTCAAAAGAACAGGAAGAAACTGTTTCTCGAATTGAAAAGCACCCTCTGAATGAGCAAGGTTGTGGCGTCTTGGTCAACTTTGTGACTGAGCTGTGTGTAAATCCTCAAAGGTTCTTGCCGCCTGTAATAGCCCTGGCATGGTTGAAAGGTCTTCACATTTGTCCGTTTTTCACTTTGACTTTGAAGCTCTCCGTGGTCTGAGACCGCGAGCTAGCATTTTGTCCATTCGTCTCATGTAAAATAGGTACTGACAGTGCTCTCCCCCATTTGGTCTACGTTGGATGCCTTGAACCTCCACGTCAGCCCTTGATTCCTGTCCTGCGAGCGGTGCAGGATGGGCTCTTGGAATCATAAATAAGTATGAAAATGGCCGGCCAAAGCTCTCCAACTTTAAGGTGTCACATCCACCACGGTTATCTTCCAAAAGGTGAGAGATGTGGAACAGATGGGGAGAGGAAGTAACGCACAGTGCTGCAGAAAACACACGGGTCACCTGTTTTCATGTGTTTTACTTTGGTGGGAGCAAGTTGCCCAACGATGCATACGCAAAACCTCTGATCGATCAGGTTCCTGAAATTCTTCAAGTCCAGGCGGGATGGAATCGACGAGGTGTCAGCATCGACATGTCGAGGGCATACTTTGACCAGAACCATTCATGTAGACGTAGGATTGATAAAGCCCCCCATATGAAGAGCTTGTACAACAACTTACAACCTAATTGCAGGGTGGGGCTAACAATCAAGGGTCAATCCATTCGGATTGAGCCAAGGTCCGAGCATTTCAGCTTCGCATCCAAAACTCCAACGGCGAACGTAGGAATGGAGCACAAGGCTTCTGTAGTGTAAGACATGGGACTTCGAATAGCAAATTCTCCTTAAAATATAGCTAAAGTAATCGAATAGTTTTAAAGCACATGCGTGGCTTAACAAAACGAATAGCTGAACAACAAAAAGAAAGAAACACCTACCTTCCCTGCTGTCGGGTTGGCGGGTGGAGTCGTGGCAGCATCGCCACGGCCACGGATGACACCCGTTCGACCCTTTGGCCCCTGCGTACCTTGAAGCTTGGAGGAAGAAAGATTTCCTCGGAAGCGCAGCCAGAGTGAATGCAGCGACTGACTGGACTGACTGCGTGGAGTTTCGAGAAAAAAAAAAAAACTATTTAAAAAAAACTGCGAGTGAACTAGGAGATCTACACTACCGAAAACTCACATAGACCCTGATGTCCTGGCCATTTGGAAGATTGTTTTTCTCTACCAGCCGACGTGGTTTTCAAGGTCCATGTTAGTCTTCCAGGGTGTACAATCGATCTACATACAAGTATAGAGTCAAGAGTGAAGTGCGTTGAGGCTGCGGCCGTTTGTCTGCCATAGATTCCAATCGTGACGCGGAATTCTGTGAAAAGGGGCTGGTCCGGTCTCAAAGTTGTTGATTAGACACATACACCATCCCGCTGCTTGCCCCTTTGACAGACAAAAAAAATATCAGGACTTGCCCCTGTGATAGGCTTCTTGATGGCCGGCCACCGGACCAAGGTCTGCTCCACGGCACGATCGCCACCGAGCTTCCGCGAAGTCCGTGAACATGCTGCTGATGTGCGATGGCCAGGGTGCCTTGTGTCCTGGAAGTGTTGGGCGGTGCTTTCCCCCCCGAGTGTTCAGTGCGAGGAGAACGTGACGTCAAAGGCCCCAATGCCAGAATCAGGTCAACTATCATCCGCTATCCTCTTCTTTTGAGAGTCGCACAACATCAAACCACACATCATCAACCATTAGAAGTGAACTTGTCTCCAGCGGGACAAGCACCTTCATGTTGAGAACTTTGGGGTGTATCTATCTTTTCCAAACAAACAGAACCTCCCATTAAACCCCAGTCTACACAAAAAAACACAAGTGCATGGCGATCATGGAACGGGACTCACTGAATCTAAACAGTCTGAGACCAAGTCTGAGACCTGCTCCCCTCCCCTTCTCGCTGGACCAACTGCGTCTTCGGCGCGGAACTCGGCGCTCGGAGCGCCTGTGACGATGCTCCAAATCACGGGCCAACTCCTCCAGCCTCGGCCCACCGAGCATGTGGACACATGTGTGGACTCGGTGTGCTGTTCAGGTGTTGCGCGTGGTTTCCAAGGGGCGGCTTGGGCGTGGTGAAAAGCAATCCCTCGTGTTTGGAGCGTAGGGTTTTTCTTTGTGCCACATGGCACTTGGCAGAGAGCTCAAGAAAGTCTCGGTGCATAGCTGTTTGGAGCGTACAGCTGCTGTTGGGTTGAGTCCCCTTTTTGATGAGAAACTGATAGGGAAAATAACTGTAAGTATTGGGTTTGTTATCGAGATCCAGTGACACATGTGAATCTCGACGGTTCTCCCTATGGAAGGATGCTTGGAGAGGTCCAAGTCATGACCATTCCGTCTATATAGGTGATATTCGGTCTATGGGGCTGCAAAAGCATCCGGTCTGACCAGTCTGACCACTGAACACCCACACTGGCCCATTGGTGGAGTTCGGAACGTAGAAATCAACACTGCCACCCTTGGAGTTCAAACGGTTCGGGCATCCCGAACATGCATCCACACCACTGGCCCGCTTCTCTGGATACTTAGTCTACCCATCGTAATACCGCACAATCAACCTAAATTGACAAAATTGGCGGGCAGCCAGACTATGGTAATGTAAAACCACTGGAAGTTTGTGAAGTTTGATCACAGAGAAATGTGGGGGCTCTTGCTGCCTTGGAAAAATAAAAAAAAACAATCGAGGCAACACTGACACTGACAAAGCTGGCAGCACTTTTCAACTCCTCGCGATCTGTTTTCCGCTGATGGCCCCGAGCTAACCGCTCACTTGGTGACCATCCTGACCGTCCGGTTGACATGGCAGGCGAACAAGTCTGAGGTCCAATACAGTATGAAAATGGGAGACCTCACAAAAGACACCCCTGTGTGGAAGCAGGGCAATGAACCCAAACCTGGAAGCAGGGGGTCTCCCGGACTCATGGCCTCTACACCCGAGATCAACGATGAACCGACGACTCCCTGAGATCAACGACGAACCGACGATCCTCGGCTACCCTAGGGATCTAGTCGTAGGTACGACTAGACCCTCCAAAGCTACATAACAGTGTCTCCAATCAGCGTACCTGAGAAGGTACGACTGGATCCCTATAGGGATAAGATAGCCGATGCTAGTAAAGGCAAAGTAGTTCTATGTAGTTCTATTTGGTGTGTATTTGTGTTCCAAACAAGGCACCCGCACTGTGGTTTTCCAAATCACCGGCGATCAGCAGCATCAATTGTTTGTGTTGCCAGTGTTGGTGTCCCATATTAGACTTGACTCTAAAAACTCAAGATCCCCTTCAGTTCAAATTGAGACTTTCCTTCTTCATGGATACACATTGAAGGTCTGGACATGAATGGATCTTTGGTGGACTACCATGGACTACTCAGATGGTTCAAACATGGTTGGTTGGACACCCATCAAGTGGGGAGCCTTCTCGCACTTTGTTCCGACCCTTTTTCAGCGGTTTCCTTCGTTAAAGTCTTGAACACATCATAACACATCTATACAACTGAATCTTCCGAAGGTGGTACAATTCTTCAAGCCCTAGAGTACGTGGCAAGCCAAGTGTATGATCTGGTCACTCCAAGGTGCGATTTGGCTTCGCTCAACATGTCTTTGGCGAAATCCTGCAAATCAATTGACGATTTCATACGATTTCGGCTTCGGGACTGGAAAAGCTTGGAGATTCATTACTGGCAAAAGGGCTTTATCAGGGTCAACTGACTGTGGGTCAACAAACATCTGCCATCAACTATAAGGAGCAGCAAAAGCCGCGAGTTGAAAAGCACATACACCTATAGCCAAGACATGTTCCCATCCTAAAACTCTGCAACCCTGGGGGACACGAGCCAGCAAAGGGATCCCAGATTCGCATGGCGCAGATTTGCGGCCGAAACCGCACATGAGGGTTGACAGGTCCATATTCCGGGCCGCTCTAGCCTTGGCGTTGTCAATACGAAGGAAGCTCATGATCTTGTCCAGTTGATCCATCTGCACACTGAAGATCGCCTCGTCTGGCGTCTGTCGTGGCAGTGAAAGAAAGTCGCTGACGCGTCGCAAGTCTTTGTCAAGGAAAACATGTCTTTTGGTTTGATAAAATGTTCAGGTGAACATGGAGCAAGAAACGGAAGTAGAACCCGAAGCCCAATATCTGTGCACACAGCTGTAAGGTACCTAATGCAACACGAGCTTCTCGGAAGGTTTTGTATGCTTCATTGAAGCAGATCGAAGGTTTGCAGTTTGCAGGTTCGGGCCCTGACCACTCCCACCATGACCCGCCCGACCGGAAGGAGACGTTAAACAAACGAGAATTGCCCGTGCGCAATCCAAACATCAAACATCTAAGCCCCATAGATGTTCAGGTTTGCTTTGGGCTTTGGATTCCGTGATATCGACTTTAGTGAGTTGCTTTCGCTTGACCAACCAAACAGATTCAGAACCACTGGTGGTCATCTCGCCTCCGGCGAGGAGTGGAGCTTTTTCAATTGTATGTCTCCAAGCGCTTGAACGAGTACAGTAACCCCCTTCCACGCCTCAAAATCAAATGTCTTCATGTAATATATAATATAGACCTGTTGATTATATATTATCAACCCATGATATGAATAAAATTTACAATCTGAATTGGCTAGGCCGGGAGGGTTATTATTCGACTGATTTCCAGGTAGTCCAGGAAAGGCATCCATCAACAGTTTCACTCTTGCTGTCATCGATAGAGGTGGTCTGTCTGACAACACCACCCCCTTCGAAACGCCCCTGGGCCATGCACAGCAAGCCGCCGCAAGCCATGTCGTGCATCCAAGGGGCGTAGAATTGGGACCAGACTTCAGCAAGGATGACGCCCACCAAGAGAAAGAGAACCAGTCCGAGATAAACCTCGACATCTCGAAGTGAGGGCACTTCGCTTGCGAAGTTTGGTTCATCTCAAGGGAATTGACTGCAGGAACATCGTCTAAATGGGCTTGCCATCACTTTGGATGTGATTCAATGCATGTCATTCCATTGGATTTCCATTTGGTTCTTTTCTGAAACACCACATGTAAATATTTGCCACCTTTGGGCAGCGTTTGTTTGGGCCGTCTTTTTCCCGCAGCATCGACCGGTGGAAGGACAATCGGTGCGGTGAGGATTCGCTCAGCAGCGGAATAGGGATGGTGGATGGTGCGGTGAGGATCCTTGAGGTATTTATATTATAGTTATATACATTGATTGAAGCCTTATTGTATTGAGGGGTCGTCAGTTCCTTAGTCACCTTAGTCTATCTTAATCTTATCCTCTACTAAGCATCAGTAAAACAAGTTAGTGGTGGCATGTGGTGGCATATATATATATATATCAACTTTTCACATCTTGAAGGATATGCGAGGATATGTATGGACTCAAATCGGCGCCCGTTTCCAATACTGGAGTTCCACTTCGCAGTTGAGGCCGGCCCACAAGCTTCCATCCAGCCCAAGAAAGTCTTCAGAGAAACTTTACAGTAATCCCATGCCACTGAAGAGGGCTAAGGTGGGGGTAAGCCGCTGCTTGCTTGCGGCATCCATCCATAGCAATACCTTCACCGAAGAAACTCACTGTTCCACGTCCACAGTCACATCAGGCCATGTGGCATGCGAGCTCCTTTACCCAGAAATCTACCCCGAACCCGAGACAGGGACACACTCCTTTCTCTGTCTACAGTTCCGAACCCTTATCCCGATATAATATGGCCCTCCACTTAATCCAAGCTACATAGCACGCAATCTCCTTCAGGAAGGGTTGGATAATGCCCTGCCACCAGAGGAATGCGAAGCCCCCCGCAGCAATCACAAAGACCTCGACCAGTTCATTCATGTTCATTCCACTGGGAACTTCCATGATCTTCTATGCCTGACTTGCTCCTCTCGACTCTAAGTGCCTTGGGTCTTGTGATGTCTTTTAGATTCCAAACATACACAAAAGCACAGGGCTTGAGCACATGTCTCTTTGCACGCCGCTGCGTCTCTTCACCCCCGCGCCGATTCGCGGAACCCGCCGGAGAGATCACCACCCAGGCGCGAAGGACATGTTCACCGCAGAGGAATAGCTGAGACCACAGCAAATCAGCTCTGCAAAGAACCTTCGATGAGATTTTTGTTGAGCGTCGGATTATGCAGAGGCACCATGAGGTGGTGCGTGTGCTTCAAGGTCGGGAGAAGTGGTGCACTTTAGAGTTTTGATGGGAGTGAGATGAATGAAAGGCTTTACTGGACACGCTGCGGCCAAGCAGCTCTTTGATATCGTCCCAATCCTCGGGTCACTCAACGTCTTCTCACTGGTCATGTCTGGCAGCCAAAACCCGTGAGGCAGGTCTTCACACCATCAAAAAGTGTTGCTTTGTGTGTGCAGAAATTTTCCTTGCTCTATCTTCAGGTGTGAAACACCAAGGATGTCCAAGGTTTTTGTTGAGCTGCATAACTTGAAGCAGCCCCCATCTGAAGCAACACCACGTACGATTGTAAGATACTCTAACTCCAAAGTACAGATTGCCCCTGTTACTCCAGGGTTATTGCCTTCAGCTCTGCTCCTGAAAGGCCTGTTTGATGGGAACTGGGCAATCTCTTACATACCTGCCTTGATGCACTGGGAGGCTTTCAGCTTTTCTGCTTTGTGCGACGCAAAACATACAGTATCCAACTGTTATGAACAGTATTGCAGCCAAGCAGAAACATATGTAGTTGATTGTAGTTGTTGTGTTCTTAACTGATCAGTTCGTTGCGGAACACGTTCATCCCGGTGCCGAATTCGCCCACCCACCCGAAATGGCCACCGAAATAAACAACAAAACACCACACCACCGAACTGTAACGGTCACACACACCCACCACTCACCACGGTGAACACATCAAAACACCATCAAAAACACCGCATGGACCAGCACCGGTTGGTTGTGAACAAAATGACACGCTCCCATCCAGGTGTCGACACTGTGATCGCCATTGGGATCTTCACGGACGTTCTTGAAGAAGACGTAGGCATGATAAACCACGTAGACCAGGAAGGCCACCGAGCCACCTCGGTATTTTCGTGTCTATTTTAGTGTGCGTTTTCGAGTGTTCGTCTTAGTTTGTGTTTGCTGTTTCCCCGTGGATTCTAAGATCAAATAAGTGTGTGTGTTTTTTTTTGAGGCTTGCTTTGGTGGGCGAAGGAAAAACTTGTGTTTTGCAAGGGTGCATGGGAATGACAGGAATAAATTGAATTAACAGGGGCTTCAGCTGAGTCACGGACTTTGTGAACAAATGTAGAAACATGTTGAAACAAGGTTTGGGAAAAGGCTGTGAAATTTCTGACACACACACAGACACATGCATTGATTGTTTCATGATCCAAGAGATTGCCTGGAAACATCTGGAAACAGGGTTGCACTTGTCAATGCTTGTCATCTTGTGTCTCGAAAAATAGGTCATTTTGGCCGGATGTGGTTTTTGGACACCGTGGGATGTCAAAACTCTGCCCCAGTGGCAAATGATCAGGCTCACGGTCAAGATCCGCTTCTTAGGATCCATCTCGGTTGACCCATCCTGAGGCCGACTCTGACCACGGATCAGGCGAGGAGAAACGGCGAGCAGGGCAGACGGAGCACTTGTCCTAAAGACTCAACCCTCCCTGGTTGGGAAGAGGAAAAAGTTATGTAAGAAACGGCTAGTGGTTGGAGAAGCTTGCGGGGTCTCCCTCCACTAGTACACCCCCATGCATGCCATGTATGTTTAGTGTATGACCGGTATAGAAGCTCTTGAGGAAGGTGCTCGTTCAACTAGACTATGACTTTGGGAAGAGGTGATCTCATGAGTCATTCTGTGCTGAAGCAAAGCTTCAAATGTGATGTTGCTTGAATGCAAGGGGTTTTCCACTTTGGCAGGGTGGGAGTAGGGGCAGGCTTAGAGCCTCATCCTTCATCTAGTCTTAATCATCCTGCTTCTCACACACTCAAGTGATTGAACAAACACGGGGGCACCCGTCACCTGCCTGCCATGTTCTGCCCATTGTCTGCCAAGGAGCGCCCATCCAAGAACTATTGGTGGCACTGGCTGGAGGTGGTGGCGCCTGTGAAAAGCGCCCGTTACTCACACAGTTTTTTGATCAAGCCATCACTTGTATGCGTTCCTTTTGTAGCTCATCTGTCCCAAAACGGAGCCCAAAAGAAAATACAGCAAAAGCACTGGTTTCCAGCCTGCTGGGAGCGGAAGCGCGTTGTTTCTGCTTGTGCACTATTGAAACGAACGCCAAACCGTCACATACATTCAGTCAGGAAACGCTGGGAAATCAACTCATCAAGCAACACATCCATCAAACTCGCTTGGCCTTCCATCACTCTGGGTGGGAACCTTGTTGGGTAGACAAATCGGTTAATCGATCTGTTCAAGGTAAATTCCAAGGTCAAGGTGTTGTGGGCTGAGAATGACGATTCAGAAAAAACAACAACAACAACAACAACAACAGCAAGAACACTTGCATTTTGCATATCACTTGCCAGGAGGCCATACCGGAGCGGGCCGCCCGGCCACCGTTGTGAAAACCTTCGTCGTTTGATCCGTTGAGCCGTGGGTGTGACGCTGTCTGCGCCTGCTCCAGAAGTGACGTGAGCACAGCAGCCATCTCCTCTGAACGTCTCTCGGTACTGTGATTGCTCACAACACTCCTGGCGTCAGTGAGGTCGGTCAGAGGTCAGCAGGAGTAGCAACTGGGTGAGCTGGGTCATCGGTTCCAAAGAAAAAGGATTGAAGACCTAAAGATGTTGGATCTATCTTCGGAGTAGAGGGTGAAGTAGGGGACATAGAGGTCTATCTTATCTACCAAAGTGCATAAAGGGTTAGTGCATCCTACCCTGCGTAGCCTGCAGAATACAACTAGAAAAGGTTCCATCAATGCTTGATTGCCCCCAGCTTCCATCATACTCTATCTTCTCCAGGACGATAGGTGCAAAACAACCACCAGGGACCACGACACATTTGTTGGTTGCCTCACCTGCATGATCTGACGCGTGCAATGCACAGGTGACTCATACGTCGCGACTCCAACTGGAACAACGGAGGAACACACTAGCACCTTGCACCCACCAAACAAAAACTGGATACATAATATATTCTTGTTACAGTTCCAATTGGAGGTTTCACCATCCATGTCGGGTGTATTAATATTTTAATCAAGACGTCCACATTGTGCAACTGGTGACATCTGGTGCTAATGAGTTACCCATCGCAATCTGACGTTGCCGACGGCAACTCTTGGACAACGTGTGCTCCGACACTGTGGGCATCTGACCCGAATCCGCCACAGTTCATGGCGGCACGCAGTTCGATCATCTTGAACTGGGCATCCCTGGCAACTGGGCAAGGAGCCTCTCCAAGCGCTGATTCTCATGCCTGCATGGGCAGAGACCAAAGAAAGGCCGGCGCAAGATGGACATCAACCACATGCAAGAACTTTAAAGTAAAACTAAGTACCAAACATTACAAAAGAGCTTCACCTATATCATCATCCTTTGTACACATCCTCTTCATATTTTCTCATACATCTTTTTTGAGGATGAGGGATGGAAGGCTAAGCTGGCCCATCCCCAGGAACCCGAATCCGTTCGCGGTGGAATAGGGTGGAATGGATACAAACAGAAAAGCTGGTGAGTGAGTGGCTGGCTTGCTCTCAGTGACTCAGTTTGAGCTAAAAATCAACAGGAATTGTGCGAGCTTGCCTGCTTATGCCTGCTTCACATGAGCAGAACACTCCGTGAATACCTTTGTACGGAATCATCTACCAGGAAAATGCAAATCGCATGATCCACAGATGATCCACAGCAATTCAATTCTGGAGGTATTACATGGAATTTGTAGTACTGTAGTATTATATATTATATATGTATGTGATTCTCTTTCACCCATGTGTTGATTAAGTCCTTTTGCAAAATAGAACAACTTGGCCCACTGGATTCTCGTGCTTGTTTTTCTGATGTTCTCTTGAAGGACTTCATCCCGGAATCTTTGGGACTCGACCCGACAACCCGAATCCAATGGTGAGATTCCGAACCAGGGACCCACTCACCAACGACCGGCCTTAGTCGATCATCCTCCTCGCGCAAGCGCTCGTCATCCAGCTTGGACTGCTGCTCCTGTGCAGCTGGGCGAGCAGGAGAAAGCAGCCAATGTGCTGGGGGTGTTCCACCACGAAACAACATATACCAGCCGAAACTCTGTCCGGCCAACAGGATGCCAGTTAACAAAGGATTCGCCAGTGGCGGTGAAAGGGGATTCCAACATCTTGGATTTCCGAAGGATTCCCCATTCTCCACCAGGTTCCAAGTTGAAGCGCCAGTTCGTCATCTTGAGGCTTCGGAGGTCCCAAATTCGGCCGACCAACGGCCCCCGGCCGGCGGACCGAATCTCACGAGTCGTTCCCTTTCCGCCTCGCTCAGCAGGCTGGCACCGTTGCGAAGAGCCCGTAGGCGCTGGTCTAAGACGGCCTAACGCACGCGTGCAACAGGCAGCAGGGTCTGTCTCGTGCGCAGAAGCGGCGAAAGCGAGGCTGTAGGGCGGTATTTTTGCGGGCTGCAGCATCGCAGCACAACACCGGCGGGGTGGGGTTCGTTTTGGGACACTATTGTGTATTGCACGGAAAGACGAGGAAACATGACCACAAAGAAGAAAAGACCACAGGCCTGAGGAATTTTCTGGACCTGAGAATAAAACATCTAGGCCCAGATGTGCCTGGACCACAACAAGAAACAGTTTTCACCTGAGCGGCCTTTTTGTCGGAGAAGAATGGACTCACCGTGACTCTGGGAGACGATTCTCAAAATGCTCGCTTTGCTGAGCAGTTTGCTTGAAGAAGATTGGGCAAATGATGTGTTTTTTTTTCCAAGCCAAACATCTTGCTTTTGCACAAACCAAACCTACGACCTTAATACCTTATATTATATATTAATATACAGGGTTGCTTGCTTCCTTCTCAAGGGACTCCTGCCTCAAAAGGATTCTTCACGTTCACCGCCTGCACCGATGAAGAAGCTGGTGGAGGTGGAAAAGCGTGGCCAGCTGCGGTGCTTTTCTTGTGTCTTGGTCCACTTCCAGGAGCTCAGCAACAAACAAATTGCAGAGGAGAATGTCCGATCCGCCAAACATGTTGGCATACAAAGGTGATACAAAAAATGCTCTGCTAGAAAAAGCACCCTCAACACCAGATTGATTTCTGTTTTCATCACAAAACAACTACTTATTGAGGTAGGTGTGCCACAGAAATGGCGCTGGCGTGCGCAGGCTGGCAGGTGTCTTTCTTGCTTCTTCCAAGAACAAACGCCCTTCTTCCGGTGCCTCCGAGTGGACGTTCTACAGCTGTTAGCAGGTGTTCAATTGCTGTTCTTCCTCTATTGACACAGTCGAACCTGTGTGAATCATTTGTGTTTAAAGAAGATACATGAATTTTGAACAGGTATATAGACACTTCTAGGGTCTGGGAAGACTGGCATTCATCTACTTTGCAGAAGTGAATGAAACCGTTACAAAATTCACAACAAAGCGACTTGATCAGGTCATTCGACGGCCATGTGATGTGTAGCTGGCACTGCCGTGGATCAAATCCGGAGCTCTAAATTAAGACCGGCTACGGATCGAAAGAAGTCCTTGGGATGCTAAATCATGGATGACATGGATGTGACATTTGTTCATAGGAAGATCTCCTTTGGCCCACGGGGTGTTTGGGTCTTTATCTGAACCTTCCAGCATGGCCCATCTCAGTCGCCCATGAGAAAAGCGTTGAACATACCAACCGGGCCAACCCCCCACCTGCGAGGACTCCAACGGCGCGGAGCGACGCTCCTGGAGGCGAAGCACAGGATTTGGTCCCAAAACGGAACCCGTGGAACATCTGTGTGCTAGGTCTGCTAGGTCTTCAACAATGGGTCATGACACGCGATGATGATGATGATGATGATGATGATGATGATGATGATGATGATGA